GCTTTTCAGCAGTTTTCATTCTTGTTTTTCAAAGCACCAGATAACACATGACAGCACGGGCTGATCAGGAGGAGCGCTGAGGACCTCAGGCAGAGCCCGGACTGTCCTCCCCTCCTCTGTCTTCCCAGGAGCTCCGCTTCTGCTGCCTGCGCCCTCCACTCGCAGCCTCTTTGGGGAGCTCATAAATAATGGCTTAGAAGAGAAATTATTTAAGATTACAAAACTTTTTCAAGAGCAAGTCAAGGTGCCAGCGTATTCAAAAGCTGACAGATATGTCAGGGCAGGTACTTCATGAGGGATGTGCTTTGTGTCTTCGATGTGACAAACATACTGCAGTAAATTCACAAACGTGCACTGGCTGCTGCCTTTTCCAAAGCCCTGCCACTAAGCCATCACCTTTAGCTCAGTCACTGCTCACGCTGAGAGTGAAGAGATGAGTAGGGATTATCTCCTTTTGCTAGAAATGCTTCGCCTAGTTCACTGGACTGTTTGCAATGACAGTGATGGGCAACAGGTCCCACAGATTTGGGGAGACAGTAGTGGGTGCATTTTATAGCACTGTTGGATTTGAAATTTTTCATGTTAACGTGTCCCTCTTTTGGAAGTATTTGTGGGGCCTCACTTTTGTTATGGATCATTTTCTGATATAGGCTGTGTAGTTCTTCAAACAATCCCACAGATGAGAAACTGAGGCAGAGAGAGACTAAGTGGATTTCCTGTAGATATATAAGAAGCCAGCAGTAGTGCAAGGAGATGAATAATACAAGGAGTCTCCAAACCACTAAACTGTCCTTTTCTCCCCTGTGCAATGCAGAATACATGGAATACATATCTTTTCATGGATAGCTTTTCAGAATACATATCTTTTCAAAAGGCTGATGTTAGGTTAATGATGAATCTTACAAAATGAAGTAGGAAACACATTAATTTTGATGTGGCAGGAAAGCGCTTTCCTAATGAAGTAGTAATTAAATAAGGAGGGTAGTTATTAAAGAACTGGTAAATCTGGTGCTCTCTATCCCTTCTATCTCAGCAGTTCTAGCAGCAGTTCTGGGTAAGCAAAAGGAGTGTTTCTGACAAGCATGAAGTCGCACCAGAAAAATATAAAAGGAGCAATGTGTCACAAAAATCTTAAAAAATATGAAACAATGTCAAATAAATGAAATCAATTTCCAGAACAGAATAAATAAAGACTGAAAAAAGGTACCCAGAAAGCCAGAAGACTTTTCTATTTTCTTAATTGGGGTAATTTACTAAAACTGACAGCAAATATTTTCCTAGTAGCAAAAAACACCCACAAACCCCAGCCAGCCAAAATACTGCTCTGAGCATGAGATCTGTGAAGGTTAAAGGCTTGAGTCTGCCATCAGGAGAGTGCTCCTCTTCTCCCAAGGTCAGTTCTTAAATGTGGAGAAGTAATTTTGATTCTGGTCTCTTCACAGTTCAAAGTCAACACTTAGCTTTATTTCAACAGTGCTGTATTTGGCAAAGTACCAATATAATTGTATCTGGTCCCAGTCTTGTCCTGTTTGAATGTTAAACGCCTCTTAATACCAAGCCCAATGCGCTCGCTCTCTCTCATAGTTTAGGTGATGTATAAAATAGCGAGCAGTGTGGACCTGCTGGAGCAATCCTTCCAGGGAAACTAACAGTGCCAGTGTCCACACTACACGTGTTTTGGGGGTTTTACTTCAGACCAGCTTTTGTCTGGACCCCTGCTCCCATGGACTGAAATTTCTTTTATTGTTTTTATAGCACATGAAGAGCTCCTGGAGCTGGTCACCAGCTTCTCCATGCATATTTCACTGCATCATACTAAGGACCTTCTCCCTTAGTTAAGGCTCCTTAGTGGGATAGAAATAACCTGGCAGTCTGAGCCACGTTGGCAGTGTTTGGATTTGAAACCACTCAGTATCTCCTTGCTAATAATTAGAACTTGCAAAGAGGAGAAAAGTGATTGTACAACCTCAGATCAGAGATCGTGCAGCCCAGGGACCCCTGCTCTCACAGTAACCCGTAATGGGTGCCTGGGAAAGACTTTAATAACAAGGCAAGGATGTGGCGGTACTTCCCCAGCATACTTTCTTAGCTTCCAAAAAATTCACAACTCAAGGATTTCCTTAGCCAGAGGCTTTATCTTTATATCAATAGCCCTTGATATGTTTTTTCTTTTGGGAATTATTTAGCTACTTTTTAGATTCGTGTTGATTTTAGGATCTACAGTGTCCTGCAGGAAGGAGTTTGATACTTTAACTTCACACTGCACAGTTTGGATTTGTTAAGAAAAGACTGGGGATGTTAATAAGAGGGGGTCAGATGCCCCCATGCTGCCTCTGCTCCCATTAGTCCTAGAAACAGGATGGTCTAGTGCATATGGTGCAGAGTCACCACGCCCAAGTTGAGAGTGTCGGTGGATGCAGTGCATGTGCAAATCCACCCCAGCTGGGGCTCTGCACTGCTCTGTGTGGGTTTAGGTTGATGTGAATGGGAAGCTCTTCCCAAACCACGGGATGCAGAGAGACCCATTGTACCTTCTCCGGCTTTTTTCAGAGACAGATGCTTGGGTATGACCATGTTTCTGTGGGAGCCAGAGGTGCTGAATGAAGAGCGCTCGGCCCTTGTGGGAACCAGCCAGCAGGAACTTCACCCTCCCCTCAAATCCTTGCATTCCAGGCCTGGGATTTTATCAGATCGTATTTGTGATCCCACTTGATTTTTCAAATAAACAATGAAATGCAAGCATTTGGCCAGAGGGAAATCCTCCCAGTTACTGAAGGGGAAAAGAACACGATACCCAAATGACTCATGGCTTTGTGTGTGAAGTAATGGCTGCGTGTCATAGCTTGGGATGTGGGTTTGTGGTCCGATGGAGAGGATGCGCTTGGGTTGTGAGGTTAATGTAGATGGCTTTGGTAGGAATTCTCCTGTGAATTCCCAGAGCCAATTTGCTTGTTAAGATATCACTGACTGCATGGTGGCAATTAATAAGGTAGGGAGGACACCCACCAGATGCAAAGCTGAACCAAGCCCTCCTCTGGACACTAGCCAGTGGCAAATATGATGAAGCCCTTCTGCTGCTAGAAGAGGTAGGTCCTGCAGGAGGAGCTGCAGGTGGCTGTGGCTGGAGGAACAGTGGGGACTGGGGAGTTTCTGAGGGCTGGAAGGGAACCTGGAGGGGGGCAGCAGGAGCCAGCATGCCCTGGGAGGTACCTGCTGTCTTTGCAGCTTTGCTCTCCTGGGGCAGGTTACCCAAAGACCTGCTGGATGAGCACGCTCTGATATCTGACGCAGTATCGCTCTGCCTGGTGCCCCCTGCTCCCGCTGACTTGCGTCTGCCGTGGGTACCCTCAGGTACTGCCTGCGTCGTTCTTGTTTTCCGCTGAATCACTTGGTGACGCTACGGTAAAACACGTAAATGCTAATACAAGGGTAAGTATAAAGGCCAGTGGCACCTCCACAGACCCCCGCTTCTGCCTTACTCACCATTAATCGCTTGTACCTGCTGAGATTCAACCGCGATGCCCTTTCTAGGAAGTTGCCAGCAGTTACTCGCTGTCCTGTATAGGAACAACTTGCAGATATGAAAAAATATAGGTTGTTTTATCTGGATTCTCTGTTTTTCCCCTCAGTCTCTCCATCACAGGATTTCCTCACCTCTCCCACTCCTTTCCATCCTTTTGGTGCTCTGGTCACGGCTCCGCAGCTGCGCAGCTCACAAGCTCGGTGGAGCTGCAGGTCAGGGCTCCCCTCTGGTGATACCTGCTGGGGGGATATGTGCCCATCCAGGCGGTGTCCGGTTCTCAGGGAGCCCTCTCCATCGCGCACATCCATGCTGCGTGGGATCTAGTGGTTTTGCTCCGTGGGTTAGCGGAGCAAGGAACGAGGGAAGCGCCTGTGCCCGTTTCTCCTCCAACCAAACCCCTCCTATAGGCAGGAGCTGTTGGGGACCATTTTTTGCTACATCCTACCACTGCTTCCTGCAGCAGAAACATCACGGGATATGGTTTGCAGCTTGGAAGACAACAGTAGGGCATCACCCAAAAACAGCTGTTGGCAGATCAGTTGGCTTTGGGAAACCAGCCAGCCTTTTTCAGTTTTCTGGGGCGCTTTGCTTTGCCCGTGAGATCAGAATTTGCGGTGTTAGATAAGCACAGATAAATAGAATTTGTCCATTTCTAATTTGAACAATCAAATGTTTACCCAGGTCTCAGCGCCTGGCTGAAGAGCAAGGGACCTTCTTTCTTTGTGGCTCCAGCAGTGCCAGGAGTCAGGGCTAGTCTTGCGACTGGAGAACCTTCTTTTTTAAACAGTTCAGGGGCTGGGGCTGCTGCTTGGGAAACGGCTGTATCCTCCCTGCAGGCAGATCGATACATTTCAGCTCACTGCACTGCAAGTAACTTTTCATTGTACTTTAAGAATGAGGAAAATAAAAGCCAAGATGGATGTTATTTTGGTTTTGCTTTTATTTTGAATTATTTATTGGGAAATCACTGCCGTCTTCCTTCTCGTCAGGAGACAAAATGCCTTTGTCTTTGGTGGTTTTTCCTATTAAAAAGAAATGAGGTATTCCTGGTTTTATTTCCCTCACCGTCTTGCTTCTTGGTACTGAAGTGTAAACCTAGGGTCTCCACAAGTTGACAAGATGGTCTCCTGCAGTCCTAATGCAGGCAAAGTCCCCACTGACGCCGGTGGAGGCACACCTCGTTGGCACATTTCTAACCGGTTTTATAATGACATTGCAGATGAGTTATATGTGTTACGAATGATTGCTGGCACATAAGCAGAAAGTGTTATGGAGAGTTTTAAGTAATCTACAGGCTAGCTGAACTATCATTTTAATTAAGCATTTACTAAATAGCTAGTCAAAATATTAATCCTTTTAAAGTGAATTCTTAATATGAAGTGTTATGGGGCAAAAATTCTGCAATAGGCTCCACTGTTAATATGAGCTTGGAAACTCAAACTAACAATCCGTTTTGATGTTTTTCTTCTAAATCTAGGTTATCCTGAAGGGGAGGATAAAGAAACTGGCCACCAAGATGGTAATCACTAGTGGAAATGAAGAAGATAAAGGCAGTCAAGAAAAGGAAAGCAAAGAAGAAACCATCTTGGCAATGCTTGGAATTATTGGGACAATTCTGAACCTCATTGTGATCATTTTTGTGTATATTTACACAACCTTGTAAACTAGAAGGCATGCAAATAGACCAGATAAAACGGCCATTAAGAGTGATGACAAACATTGCTGACTATTGACAAGTTGTTTAATCAGAATTGACTGTGTATTATATTAACACATCATAAAAGCACTGCCTGCCGGCAGCGACGACGGCTGAAGCACAATTAATTTAACAAGACTTTTTCACACAGTAACAAGCTTAACTCTTCTGTCCTGCCCTCTTCCTTTCAGTTTGGGGGAAAATGACTGCAATTATGTAAGTTGTAGCTTTGAAGAAATCCACCAGGGATATGTTGTTTTGACACAATTATAAAAAAAAAAAAAGAAAGAAACTGTACACTATATACAATTAGAAATGTATACTGTATACTCACAAAGATTGAACTCAAAGATAGCATCATAGCACAGAACACGTGTCTGTTAGGTCAAATGATTTTTGCCTCTTGATTTTTGCTTTTACTTATATTGAATCTGACAAGCTTTTTATTTAGAATGAACATATGGTGCAATCATGAAAAAAACTATTCCATTGAGCAAGGTCTGACTAAACCTGATAAAATATTAGGAGAAATACATTACATGGTTATTTTTCCTTTCTCATTTGCTTAACATCTGTGTCTGTTCATACCAATGTTTATAAATATATATTTTTAATAAATGTGCTATATTTTTAGCATGAACCAAATATTTGGAGACACTTGTATTCATACAGCTAAATTTTGTTTGACTGAAGTGCCCTTTTTGACAATGGATGTTATTTTTCTCAGTAATTATACAGCAGTCTTGTTTGCAGCCCTCTCACTGTAGTCTGAAGCAAGCTCACATCATGCTCATATGCATGACTTAAAGTTGGAATGTCAGCTGAAAAGCATTGCTGCCTAATACGGGAAATGGCAAAACATTGTAAGGTGACCTTTGGAGATTGGTTGCAGAAAGAAGGCTCTATTTATAGTTTTTTTTTTAAAAAAAAAAGCAAATTAAAGGAATATTGAGGCATCTCACAAAATATTACAAAGTTCACAGAATTTATGGGTTTCAGAATCTGGTCACACTCTCTAAGTACTTATATTGAGAGGTTTATGCAGTTGAAAAGAGAAATTTAGAGAGCCTGTAGTGAGCGGCTTAAGCGAAATCCAGACTGTAAATACAGAGTATATTTTAAATGTGAGGATAATTAACCCTTTAAGCTTCTCTGACATGTGCTTTAACTGAGGTTGGTGCAGTGAAATTCTCTGACTTGTGTTTTTGGCAGGAATGTACAATGATGATGATCACCATTTTTCTTCAGAATTCAGTACCTATAAATACATGAAGCATTAAAAATATGAGACTTCAATTCTGCCTTAAGCTGCCTAAGTACATTACCCATTAACTCTGACATATCCTCTTAAAAAATTGGTCAATTAATTGTTTACTGACTTGTGGTTTGGATGGCGTCCTCAGATGCACAAGGGGGGTTGTTACTGAAGTCAGCTGGAGCTGTAAAAAGTTTGATCCTAGAGTCTCATTCATTTTAGTGATCGGTCCCGTCCCTCTGGAATCAGTAATGAGCTTTTCACCAGTTTCCAGGGGCTAGGACTGGTCTCAGAAATACAGAATTTCATTGCAGAATATAAAAGCAAGCCTGGAAACCCTGAGGGGCACCTCTTATAAACAGAGGTGTTTAGTCTCTTGTGGTATCGCAGATTCAGTAACAAAACCATTAGGAGAAGGGAAAAGGTCAGTAAATAAGTTAGGATGAAATCCAATATGAAGACTGAAGGAAAAAAGAGCAAAAATAATCTCATGTTAATGAAAATGCGACAGGGTGAGAGAGGTGAGAAAATGAGCAGAGATTTGAACAAGCAGAACACGGCACAGAAAGAGGGTGCCAAGCACGCCAGGATGGTTGAGGAAACATTTGTGTTTGGACAGTGCTGGTAGAGCTGTAGGTCTTGGAGAGGGTGAGAAACATTAGTGGCACTGTTCAGTGGAGCTGAGTGAGGCTGATCTCGGGTTTTAATTTATAGTTATTTATTGGTAATTCTAAGGAATTAGCAAACTCTGCTTTTTGATCATCCTGAATGAAAAAAAATGGCTGAAATATATTTGCCTCCACTCTGCATTTTTTCTTCCAGTTAAACTACTGCTGATCCCAGCACGTGGCATTGGTGCTGGTGCTCATGTCCCAGAGCACACCTGCACATACTCCAGGCACCTGCTAACTCCAGCCTGCCTCTCCCGCTGGCAGGATCCGCTCTGCAGATGTTTCTCTTGAACCTCTCCTCCTCCTTCTCCAGCAAACACCAAAGCAATCTGCCTGAGGCTCGTACCCATCTTCTAGAGGGGCAGTGTCCGAGTCAAGAGATGAGCTCTGATGCCTGGTATTTCTTTGCCTCTCTCTGCATCAAATGATAATATCTGTCGTTTTCTTGTGGGCATGAAGATGCTTAATGAATGAAATTTCATTAAGTACTTCTCTTAATATTACAAATTAAAGCTCTGCATTGTAAAAAAGCATATAACACTCCCACCCCCCTAAAGTAAAGTAGCAAGTATTGCTGTTCATCCCAGTTGCACTCCTTCAGACATGGGCCAGCATCTTCACCAGGACAGGCACTGGAAATAGCCAAACGTGCTTAAGCTGAACTGGTGGATCAAAAAGCCTAAGGACTCTGTGTTTACTCTGCCTTTCCCAACAGAAGACCCCTCAGGGGAAGAGTTTCCAGCTGTGGGTGTGCTGTACTCTGCCTGTTAGCCTTAGCGTAGGCAGTGTGTCCCGGTGCCCGCTGCCCTGCCCCGTCAGCAGCCGCGTGCTGTACGCTTTGCCACGGGGCTTTTATTGCACCCTGAAATAGAAAGAAAGGTTTATCCCATTCCATAAAAAGTTTAACACTTAATATTTTAATTTTACAGGTTTCTGTTCACAGATAGTTCTAGAAATGTCCTGGGGCAAGTACTTCTTAAGTAGATTCATTAAGTATTCATTTAAATAAAAATGAAGAGTTTCCTTCGAGGGCAATTTCTTTACCTTTTATTTGGTATTCATGAACACTGATATGGGAAAAGTATGTTTTCACGAATGACTGTGGAAGGGAAATGTTTTATACAAAGATCTGAAAGTGTGCCTACCCAGGCAGCTGCGCGCAGGCCTGCTTTCGGCTGAATGCCAGCCGGAGCCAAATCACCCTCATGCTTTTTTATGTGAGCAGTTTTCAGCATGCACCTATAAGAAACATTCAACTAGGTAAGATATATATCATGGATACCTTGTAGTCAGTCACTGCAGTATAAATAGTTGAATAAAACTTCTCATTACAGGTGCTGAATGGTAAATCTGCTTTGGCAACTAAAAAGCTGATAGTCTCATTTTTGGCTTGACTTGTAGGTAATGCAAATAGTTTCCAAAGTAATTTTTTAAAAAAATATTACTCCATTAGTGACAGGAACTTTCATGTTTGCATTGAGTAGAAGGAAATTAATATCCAATATCTTAATAAGATATGAAAATATCACCTTTTGCTTCTGTCAACTAAGAACGCCATTGTATTTTTAAATTATCCTATGTAGTTTGATGGTTTGTGCTATGGGAATGAAAAACATTTTCCTGAGGTGACAGGAAGGTGACATTCTCCCCGCTAGTGTCTGGTGTGTTGTCTGGCGGCTACAGAAGACTTTCAAGAAAGAAGAAGATAAAACTATTTAAATCACATTACGCACACAACAAAGTGAGGAGAAAGAAGAAAGATAGGCTACTGCTCTCATCTCCAGTTCCTATAACTGTCACTGAAAATTCATCATCTCAGGAATCGTGTCTTCATAAGGAATATATCTCCTTGTGTGCTGGCTGACAGGGCAGTCTTTTCAATTATGTACCTTTTGCTCCTTCTGCTTGCACCTCTGCAGCAGCATGCGGCTCATTGCACCTTAGGACAGTTTTTACCGTACCCAGCCTGAGAGCCTCTGGAAGCTGCTGTTTTGGTTTATTGTGGTGTAAAGGTCTACTATGCGGCAGAGATTTATTATTTTAAGGACAGTCAGTAATCACCTTCACGTTATTGTCTGATAATCTAGGGGATACTTTGCTGGTTGAATTCCCAGGCCCATCCCTCCCCTGGCCCACAGGTAAAATTTTGATTCAGTAGACATCCAAATACAAAAAAAGCTTCAGTTACATCATGATAAAACTTTAGTACGAAGCATTGCTTAAGTCCCAGTGTCTTATATTTCCATTTAATCTATATCCTGCAGCTCACCCCAAATGCCCCAAGGTCTCATCCATGCCAGGAGGTCTCATAGTTTCTGAGTGAGAATTGACATTTCAGAGTGCATTGTGGCATACGCGGAGAACTTGGCCCAGAGAGGGGAACGGGGATAAAAAGTAACGAAATTAAAACTCCGGGGAGGCAGCACTGCAGACTTTATTAATTAAATAGTTTGAGGTTTGGCTGGAGTACTTTGTTTCTGGCTAGCCAGTATTTTGGTGAAAAAATATTGTTCCTTGGAAAGTTTCTGGAAGAAATATGTCCAGTTGAAAGAAAGAACCTCATTGAAAATGTTTCAGCAGCAATTTCCAGCAGCAACCTTCCAAAGAAAACACTGACCCAGCCTCCGAGTGACTCTGGCTTACTTCCCAGGAGTACTTTTCGGCAGCCCAGGAACACACTGCGCATATATGTAAGCACCTCCTGTTCACTGAGAGGCTTTGTCTTCTTTGGAGCAGAATGCACAGATTTACAAAGATTTACAAATGTAAGGAATAGTATATAATGCAATCAACAACAACAAAAAAAAGCTGTTCACCTTTATTTCCAGCAGACACCCTGCAGAACCCGCACTGCTTCTGTGCCTGGCTGTGCATTTTGGAGGCTCTTCCCAAAGGGTTTTATAAACTCGGTGTAGCTTTCCTTCCCACCACTGACCCAAGAGAAACAAAACCTGTTCAGCGTGGAAACGTCCACGCCAGGCTGAAATCCCATATGCATCCATATGCATTTATCTACATATGAACCATCTGGTATCCAATAAGACTCTCCTTGTCTTAAGCATTAGGTTTGCTTATTTGCATTTCACCTGGGGACTCAGATGGTGAAAGGCAATTTGTAGGGTTGAAAGCACCCAACTGTTTCCAATGATACAACTTTACATAACGTAGCCGTTACCTAGAACGGCGCCTGTTCATCCTGAAAAATGCCTGTGCAGTGCCACGCGCACGGCACACAATCCTCCGTGTGTAGTCTCTGACTGACAGAGCATCCATGATTGCGAGGGGGTGGGGTTGGGCTGTAACTGGCCCCTACAGCAGGGTTTTGTACCGAAGCCTGGATGCCAAGTCAAGCTCTGTA